AACATTGTGCCTAAAAGTGAATTTCTGACTTAAGCCTTTACAGTGCTTTTTTTAAATGACCTGATGTTGACAGCCCGGTGACCACATTCAGACTCTCAGTGCATATGCGTAGCCGAGCTACCTGAAGAGCCAAAAAAAAAAAACCAGATTTCATCTATGAAATGAACAGGCCTCAAAATCCTTCTTTGCAACCACGCTTTCAAAAATTGCAACAAAAACTTGTTAAAGTCGAAAATTTAGAATTTGATTATTGGACCTTTCCCTGATAGTTAATCGTAAACTGTATAATTTTCAGCAATTCCACTGTTAATATTTCACGAATGGGTTCAGCCATACAAACGTGGATTTTACTGCGATGACGAGTCGATTCGATATCCGTACCGCGATTCAACAGTATCCCGGAAAATGCTTATTGTTATTGGTTTGATCATACCTTCACTTCTTGTAAGTAAATTTGTTATTGCAAATTTCAATTACTTCCCACTCATAAGCATCTGCCAAAATTGCACCAAATTTACCGCACACACACACGCGCACACACACACACACACATGCACAAGCCATCCATGTGAAAAATCGGGATGATCGGAAAGAGGGCCATTTGGCAACGCAGCATTGTTCAAAGCATGTGGAAAAGTTAGGCGAGCGAGGCTATAAATTGCCACTAATCCAAGTCAGATTTTTTATGCCGTAACGCACCTTCACGGGCCAAACATCGCATTTTGTCATAATGGATAATTTATCCATATCTGCAACACTGAAATTTGCCGAATAATTCCTCGTTACTAACACTAGCTAGAAATTCCCTAGCAAACTGCGTACTTTCTTTCAATTTTTTAAAAAAAGGCGTAAAAATGCAAGAGTTCGCATAACGATTAGTTTACTTTAGTTACAGCTGTTTCAGATTGTAGCAACAGAATCATTTCGTGCAACTGTTTGGGAGCGAAAATGCAAACACGAATTCAAAGATTATCGTTGCAGACGATATAGCATTCCACGACTTATTGTCCGTCTATATGTATTTCTCGGTAACATCTCACATTTTTACTTTTCCTTCCGAAAGCTATTCAGAAGACCCAAAAATGTCCCAAAGCTATTTTCGACGCTGCCTAACCTGAAGTATGTTGAATGCTGGGTCAATTTTTGCTGCGTTCATCATCTAAATTATAGTCATCATCATCACCACTCCTGATATTGGAACATTTTGAGGATTATTTTTACCTCTTTTATATCTACTTCCTCGTTCTAGCATGCCAGGAACTAGATCGTCTTTCGCGCATTTTTCGGAAGAAAGAACTATCAAAGTTTTGCCAACTGTCGGAAGAAGGGCCCGGAATGTCTTCTCATACTACTGAAGTGTGCAGAGGCTTGGAACTTTAAGTTCTGAGTGCAGTTTTAGACGGAGCATGATGAATTTCTTGCTTACAGCAGCTAATTTCAGGTTATTTCCTTGTTGGTGTTGTTTTCAATCAACTTATGGTTGATATAGCCAAATATACGATCGGGCGTCAGCGGCCACATTTCATGGATATTTGCAAACCAAAGGTACATACATGATCCTGCTGCTGCTTTACTTTGAGTCGAAAACAGCATGAGATGGGTCCTCAGCTCCTAACTTTTTTCTTTGCTGCCATTAATCTAAATGCTTCGTAGTTATTCAGGCCCCAGTCGCCATCAAAAAGATACCTTCTTTCTTTTTTTCCCTACTGTTAGTTTTGAATTCCCGTTTGTTCAGAATTAGTGCCATGGCTATTTTTACCCATTATAAATGCGACACGGTGATCACTCCTTGCAAATGCGTTTCCTTTTGTGTGCTGTGCTTTTAACATTTTGAGTGTTTTACTTCATACCTCATTTTGCTTAAAATATTTCTTTCTTCGTAACTTTCAGGGTATTTTTGCATGCATTATTTTCCGCATTTTAATTATTATTTAGTGATCCGAATGTCTAAATCGACGGGAGGGTGGAAGAGATGAGGGGGGCTGCATCGCTTAGTAGCATATAACTGAAAATTCATACATATCGAGAGCAGGAGGAAAAAAAAGGGGAAGAGAGGAAGAGGAAAATTTTTAATTTTTTTAAATCTGTTGTTATTAAAGTAGGTCATAGTTCATCCAGTTCTCAGGATTGGGTAAGATGAAGCTTCTTCTGAATGCGTTGCGTGAGTTCACACCGAAGACTTAGAGTCGAAGACGAAGGCCTTGAGATTGCTGAATCGAAAGCGCGGTTGCATTCCAGTAGCATCAGTACTTTTTACTGATATTTATCAGAAGGATATTGGATTGCAGTAGAAAGTCTCGCTACATACAGCACTGTGCATGATTCAAAGTTTTTTCTCGATTTTACATTACTGTATTGCACGAATGTCAACAAACTTTGCTCACAACAACAGTTACCTACGGAATGCCGTTGTTTTTGCCGACTAATTAATTCGTTAGTGTGGGCACTTACTTTCAAGAATCCATTCTTGAAACTGATTTTTTTGGATTTTGTGGGACTCATTTTGCTTTTTTTTGTTGGTGGAGTCGCATCTCAGAGATCCTTGGAAACAATGCAAAATTATATGGAGCATGGTTCTGTTATGCCAGTGTGTTGTGTTGCATTCAAAACTGAGAAGGGGGTTCGAAAGAAATCAAAGTGCTATTGTTGATTTTCCTCTGTTTCTTTCCAAAATGCATCCAGACTAGGTCTAAACTGTTGCAGCGCATGGAAATCCAGCGTGTCACAATTGGCGGACCAAATAATCGTACTCTTGCATTCAGACATGTAAGTGCGAAGAGTTTATGCAAAGACAGGATGCTTCAGAGTGTTTCAGGAAGAGAGCTGAAACTACCTTTTCCGATGCCGTACCGCGAAGAAAGGGCTCTCGGGGTTTTTTGCACCTATTACTGGTAAAACGCTGACACTCACCCCACTACGGAGAAATGAAAAATCTAAGGAGAATGAATTGGAAATTTCACTACCTTGAAGTTTTTTGGCATGCAGCAATCCTGAATTTTGCATCAAACTCTTCGTTTTTGTTTTGGTAAAGAAAAAGATTGGGTTTTTCTATTTCTATTTCTAGGTATATTCTGAATCAGCTCCAGGCTTTACAAAGGTAAGTTGTTGTGTTCGGAGCACACTATTTTCGCAGCTGTTGTCCCCGTTCGTCACGTTCACGCACATTTTCAAAGCACATCATAATTTTTCGATAGCACCAGCAAAATCACATACAGCAAATACCTCGAAGCACACACTAAAAAAACACCCTTTTTTACTGGAGTTTTCCAGTCGCTAGTTTTTTTATCATACCGGAAGCGGTGGGCATGTCACGGTGACAAGTAGCGATGCTATTAAAAGTTAAGGGTTCAACTCTCTCTGTGGAACAGCCTAAGTGCTCCTTAACGCTTCATGTCGATGGCATATCCGTGGTAATATATACTAGGGAGTGAAAACCGCAACGAGCCTAGTAAAAATTTGTTAATTCGGTTGGTTTGACTTGGATTCATAAAAAACTTTGTGATTCGAATTATCTCAAGCTAAAATCTGCATAATTTCCCTATAATTCTATGGCGTGTAGTACTATTTTCAAAACAGACGAATTTATGAATCGGATTTTTTCTGCATTTTTCAAAACTTTTACGCACTACTTCTGCACTCAGTCCCCTCATTTCTTTTTCTTCAAACTTTTGCACGATGTTTATGAAGGTGGTTTATCAACAATTGCGCACCTTTACTGCACACCTTCGTTTCAGCATAAATTTGCAAGAATGTAACTTATGAGCTTAACTAAGGCGACCTGTTTTTCAAGAAGGGGGCGGGGGAGGATTTGTCGTAATTCGTGGAAATAAGTAAATCGGGTGTTTTTTTAGGCTGGCGAAGCAGCCCATTAGAAATTTTCTTAAAAATCTTCGTTTTCTTGACTTTTTTGCTAGTTAGCCTCTCCATTCGCGAGCAGTTCTTTGGCGAGTTTTTGAAAGGCATAAACTCATCAAAATTTATTATGTGACTTTGAGATGGCACTGCCAGCTTAATAGCTTTAAGAGATTATGGAATTATTTTAGGTATTTCTTGGTGCAGTACAGATTGCAGGCGGCGTTAAGTTTATGCATGCTTTTTTCGATTTTTTTCTAGTGCTGCAGAGGTGGCTAAGCATGCAGTGCTCGTTGGGGTAGCCTTTGGTATGCAGCAAGCATTTAATTTTGAAAATTTATTGGCATAATGAATTTTTGCGTGAAATTTCAGGGTTTTGAAACATGTCCGGTGAATTCGCATGAGTACATCACAGATTTCGAATGTACCGGCACCGATAAATATCTTGTGCACGAATCCATGCTCTCGTTCTATTCGGGCCACTCCGCGTTCAGCTTCTATGCTGCCTGGTACACTGCTGTAAGCTTTCTCATCGGCAGAAAAATTAGTGATATGAGTGAAGCTCAGCACAATCGTCTTTCATCACTGTGTTTTTTAAGCTAATTTCCAAGGCTGCAGGGCAGGACTGACCGTTCATCGGACTTCGCAAGGGCAGTTGTTCCTGAATTTTACCATAGTTCCATTAGCCGTGATCTTGGGTAGGGGACTGCCACCTTCTAAAGCACTCGGCCTAGCGTATAGCCTTCAAATCAGAGCACAGTTTTAAGGAGGAAGTAATGGAATTTTTGCAGCTCTATCTTCAAGCACGACTATATCGGCCGCTATTTAGTCGTTTGCTTCTCCCGGTTGTCCAGTTTGCCCTATTTGGTGGCGCTGCTTTTGTTGCTTACACACGGGTTAGCAACTACAAGCATCACTGGTCGGATGTTCTTGTTGGCGCAATTGTTGGCTCCACTATTGGCATCGTTGTGGTTAGTTTTGACTTCTATATTTCATAAATTTTTCAAAAATATTAAAAACTCCAATACCACTTGAACAATCAGTTTAGATGCATCGAGTTAGTGATGTTACTGGAATGCTACCACAGGCTAAGGCAGCTGTGCCAGGCCCTTCGCTCCGAAGCTGCATATCTCCAGTTAGTACATTTAGTACTGGTCCCTGTTCGATTTTTTAATATCTAACAAGGATAAAATTTAAATTTACTTAAGAAACTTGATCATGGACAATCATCTTTTTTGTTGTACTTAAAGTTTAAGAGCTGGTAAATTTAATTATTAATTTATCAAAAAATTTGGCAGAGCTTACGTTCGTCCTCAACAAATTGTCGTTCCATTATTGCTGTTAAGGAATGTTTCAGCTACTCTGCCTCTTGCTGTTTCTCGCAGTTTCTTCACTTTTTCGGCAGAAATTGCGAGCTCGTTGCATTTCCACTTGCGCATAGTATAAAGTTTTTATCACTAATCTAGAAATACTTTTCAGGCACTTTTTGTTGCTGAGGTATTTTCGCGTCGTGAAATTCCATCATGTGATGCACACTGCGGTTACGATGAATTTGGCCTGGCACCAGTCGTACGGCGAGCACCGTTGGCGGACGTGGAAACAGGTGGCGGTGGTATGCGAAACGACGGAGGACGTGATGGTGCGCAAGTTGTCAAATCACATAATATAACAGTAACACGAGAGATGGCACCCGGTTTGAATGATATCGAGAATAATCAGTCGCCGCCACCAGCGCAAACAGCACAGAGCCAAAGATTGTAAGCGCTTGTAGTAGTGGTGCGCTGTCGCTTTGCACTCCTATCGCTGTTTTTCCCATATTTTTTATTACCACCCAGCAGCTTGACACGCTCTCCTTGTGCCATAATTTCCACACACTGGGGTAAAGCCAGGCTACGATGAAACAAAAGCTGATCAATACTACGGCAGTAAGTGATCCTTATGAAGTAATTCCGCTTCTGAATGCTCAGCGTAATGAAACTGAAAAATTTTTTTAAGGATTGCAAGTTTCAGAGTTTCGAAGATATTAATGAATTTTTTTGTAAACTCAGTAGAACTCTTTATGACCGAATCCCATCAATTCCTCTTTATCAAAATATCTCTCCTGCAAGGGGCTTAGAAGTTGAAACCGTAAATGTTCAAGTTTGATTCGGCCGTAATTTATAGTCTGCTTCTTGAATGGTGCAACTAGTAACCTCTCTGTTTGCTTTAACTAATACGGCATCACCTGCTAATAGCCTGCTGTTAATCTTGATTTTTTTTTTCTTTTGTAAAAGGGATTACCAGCCCGATAGTTACTGGACTACAGTCAAGTTGACTTACCCATGTTTTTTTTTTTTGAAAATTTACGATCTCTCGTTAAAAATGATCTTCTAGGCTGAAAAAAGCTGATAAATACCACTTATTCAATGTTTTTATGCGTTTTTTGCAGCAATGCAATGCGAAAAACGCATATTGACGAGAGGTTGTCTGT